TTTTTTTTTTTTTTTTGGCCCATGGGTTAAGACAACATAGAGAAATGTAAAAAAAAAAAAATTCAATGGGGGTCAAAGGGGAAGTCATACCCGCCACCAGTCGTATTCATCTTCAGTGAGTTTGGTGGTTGCCGACAGAAAGGGCTCAATGGAGCGGTTCAGGTGCTGATTAAGAAACACGTCTTCTTCTGAAAAACATTTCTCACACCGACACGAGCTTGGCATTTTAAGCTCAATCCAGCCTGAGTAACTTGCCGTCAAAAACATGCCGATTGTTGTGACAGCCAGGGGAGCAATCAACATTTTAAACTGAACTCGCATCCTGAGTAATGGAAACAAAAAAAACAAAAAAAAACACATCAGAATGAGGTGGGAAAACAAGTGAATTTTTAAAGACAGTTTGAGAGAGGACAAAGGACTACAAACTTGTTTACTTGAAAGATGTCTATAAATTTCATTGAACTTACCTGGTGTGACGGGAAATCCTTTCAGGTGCAAAGCTTTAAAATAATGACAGATTATCTGAAACTGTTGGACTTTGGAACAGGTTTAGATCATGTAGTGCTGAGCGTTCAGAGAGCAGGTTTGACGTCATCTCAAAGGGGAGGGTGTGGCTTGTTGCAGCAAGGGAGACAGACTTCGCACTTAACTCAATGCATCTTTTGTTAGTGTTTAATAAACACTTGTGGCTTTCAGCCAAATGAAAAGTTTACGAATTTGAATTCCTAAAAATATGTTGAAAGAATTACAGTCATTTCTGTAAGACTTTTGGGTGAATCAAACCGTTTCTGACAGGAAGTATGACTTGTATTCCAAAAAGCTAATAAAACTATATATTTTAAGGAAGTTAATTGTATGCCTTTTTCCATCAGCACACTCGGTACCTCTTTTGTACCAATGTTTCCTCTTTTCTGGTGATTTTATGAAGAAGCTGTGTACAATGTGGCATTCTGTATTATTGGTAGTTAGAATTTCTCTTGTAATGTCCTCTTTCCTCCTAATAGAAAAAAAAAACTATGTATTCTAAAATGGATCAATTTGAAAAAAATGTAAGACAATATAGTCTATTTACAGCTCACAAAAAAGAATACTAATGTGTGTCTCTGCTTCATAACACTTGACTCAAATGACTGAATGACCTCCTCTGCATGCCACCAAATGCCCACATCACCCCGACAATCACCCACATAATCAAATCAAGTGTGTGTCAGACGGGAAGCCCCTGAAAGGCTTTCTTTTATTAACAACTAGTTAGCTTGTGAAACAAACCAATAGGATTCTATGTCCATCACTGTCCAACGTCAATTTGAATGGTAGATTGAGAAAAACACTTGACCTTGATTTGGGGCACTTCATTTTTTTTAATTTATTTTTTGTCAGTGTGTCACTGTCAGGGACCAGACAGTACAAAGTGCAGAACACAGGTGTTGAATTCTCTGACTGGACATTCATAAACTTGAGACTGGGATTTTTCATTGACACAAGTATAAGGCTGCCATCTAGTGGCCATAACTGAATAAAAGATGCACAGCAGCCTTTTGTACTTCTATTTAACCGTCTGATCATGAACTCACCTGAGGAGTCAACGACTCCTACTCTTAATGTGTTCATGGCTCGTCACTTTCTGACTGACTAGATGTCAAGATAACAGTTACTTGCTGTTATGTTACAAGATAACAGTTGTGGTGCACTGGTCAATATTAAAGCAAGACAAGACACATTAATCTACCTTTAGCACTCCTTCTGATGCGTTTTTTAAGATAGAGGTGGCCAGGTAGGAGTCACCAAATTGAGAATAACTTTGCATAACCTGTGACTGCAATTCAAGAATGGAACAAAATTTAGTGAAAAAAAAAAAAAAGAAATCTTGCCTGCTTTAAGGATTGTTGATCATGTGTAAATGAGTTTTTAGTTTTTTTTCTTTGAAAAAACTAAATTTTTAGTATTTTTTGGTAATTTAACATTAGAAGAAATAATAAACCACAGGTTCAATAAAGAAAAAACAGAGTGGCTGGTAAGCAGCTGCATAAGGAATATTTTTACTTTGACTAACATGCTAAAGCTTGAACGTTGTGCTTCGCTACCTCTTTGCCTGGTTAAAATAAATCCCAACTTGTCGCTCCTGCTCTTCAGCTGTAATCTTCACCTACATGCATTTTTGTAATCCAGGCATTATGAAGGAGGATAGGTGGCTTTGTGTTTTAACAGAAGTCACATACACACTTTGGGTGCAGCAAACATGCAAAAAACATTCCATTGAGCCTTTACAAACACTTTACACTTTACAAATGATTTAGGAACAACCAGCAAGAAAAAAACAAAGTGGTAATTTTATAGTAACTGCAAACTTTGTGTTTTATGGAGCATGATGAAATGGAAAGTGAGGTCTGTGCATCACTGAATTCATTGTTAGTTTATTCTGGAATTAATGATTAGATAACTAGATAAGGTCCAAGGGTAAAACATTTCACAACTCGGTGAGAAGCTTAGATAAAAAAATATAGTGAGGGAGCTAGATCAGTTTGCTAGCTTGACTTTGACATCCTTAACATGTAGATGTGCAGCAGAATTTGATGCGTCTCGGGTGAGTTAATTAGAAATAAGGTGACCCAAACACTAACTGACTGGTCATCAGTAAAGCAGGTGTTTAAATTACCTAGCCAACCTTTAAAGTGTTTGGACGAATAACAATAAGAAGAATTGCAAAAGTAAGCATCAAGCCTGAAACATAATTCTGTAATGGACTGGATGTACTTTTCTTTGTGTGGGAAATGTTTGTACGGTTTTTGGTGATGAATTCTGGTCCGCGGAGCTGTTGTCAGTCAGTTACTATCGCTACGCCATGTGTAGCGTAGCTTACTCAAAGAAGACTTTTGAAATATGGTAACCTACTACATTGCCAAAAGCATGCCACTGAAAGAACTAGTCCTACCTTCTTGTAGTTCAATCATTGAAGCAGATCATGTGTGTATTCTCCCAATATGTCAAAGAAGTGTATAAAATCCAGTTTTTGCTGATTTTATCAATCTTTAAAGCTGCCAATAACTGTAGATAATGTTTTTTTGAACATTTTTCTATGTTTGTTGAAACTGTGACTGTGTCCTGACAGTAGAATACGAAAAAGATGGGGAGATAAAATTTTTTTAAAAGTCAAGCTGCTCTGGTTCCAGTTCCCTGTCAGACACGACCAATCAGAGCCAAGAGGAATGTCAGTGTCAATCAAGTTGTTCAAGCGCTTGATTGATCAACGCTTCAATCAAGCGCTTGAAGCGTTGATTGAACATGCAACGCATGTTCTGCATGTGGTAATGGCAGAGAAACATCTTCGTGTTACAGAAAACCTGCCCATTTTTTGAGATCTCGGCAGGCCCCACTGTGGAGGAGGAGCTGTAGAGGGAGGCACCTCTGAGGCATGGCTGTTCAAACTATTTATGTGTTCACAAATCCACAACTTTCTACGGCAACAGTACATGTAAATTTGCAGAGCCATGAACAAAAGACAATAGATCAATTGTTATACAGTACCTTTTAATTATTTATGTCAGTCAGACTTTCTTTTATTTCCATTATTTGCATTCTGATTTTCAGATACCTCCTAAACTATATACCTACTTCACATAAAAAAATATATTTCAGAAATGTTTTTTAAAGTCTCCCATGATGACTAAAGACATCTACTTAGTAAAAGACTGAGTGCTTTCTCAGTAAAGTGATAGCTTCAGATGGCTGATTAGTCAGTGATATTCAGTTTGACCCATTGACCCTGGATATTTGGATATTTGGAACTTGTTTATCCCATTTAAAGTTGTGGAGTGAGTATGGACAGGTAGTTAACAGGTCAGGCAATCACACATCCTCACAAATTAAACTGACCAGTTAACCAAACATACTGTCTATGTATTTATGTTTTTAGAAAAGATTGAATTACTTTGAAAAAAAAATGCACATGTTGAACATGCAAACTCAACAATTAAAGAATTTCCTATTCATTACTCAAGACAAATCCTTCAAAGGTTAAGGTGCTTTAGATTTATGTAAGGCGTTTAGTCTCTGTTGAGACAACTGATAACTAGACTAGGTTAGTATTGATGCATCTGGGCAGCGGTGGTAGGAGTTTATTCTGTAGCTGGTGGGTTGCCGGTTTGAATCCCGCTCCGTCTTTCACAGTCATTGTGTCCTTAGGGAATACACTTCACCTGCTTTCCCTGCTGCTGGTGGTCAGATCCACCCAGTGCATGGCAGCCTCACTGCCCCATGGCAGCTATGGCTACAACATAGTAGCTTACCACCATCAGTGTGTGAGTGACTGATAGTGTGAGGTGCTTTTTCTAGTCTCGATAAAGTGCTTTAAAAGTACAAGCCATTCATCATCTGAGGAGTTTAGATTCTGGAAGAAGTTTTTAGATTTTTTTATTGCAACTATTTATACAGGTAGTTCTCATTGAGATATGTGGTCTCAATTTTTAAGAGTGACTTGTTTCACCACCCTTTGTAAAGTCTGATTGTTTTGTTTTGGGCCAACTCATGTATGAGTGCATACTCATGTTTTCCAGGATGTGGTCCAGTTTTAAAGTTCTTGTTTTTTAGTGTTTCAAAGTAATGGCTCCAGTTTCCGTCGTCGTCTGCTCCATAACCAAACACGCTGACCTAGGGACACATTAAGGAAGCTTGTTAGTTCAACAAAGAAACTGTCTGAAACAATGTTACTTCTCATTTCCACTTTAACCCACATGCCAAAAAAATATGCATCTACAATAACATAAAACGTCTGTCCCTTTTGTTTCACATCGTAGATTCAAAAGGTTTTTTTTCACCTCTGAATGTCCTGTAGGACATTGGCTCTGCAGCAAGTTAAGGTCTAAAAATGGGTTAAGTCTTGCCATAATTTTATTGCCATTCTTCTTTTAGCTTTTAATTTGTTTATTTGGGAGCATGTTTTGGTCACATGACCCATATGTTGTGTTCTAGCAAAGGAAAAGTGATAACCACAATTTCACAGTATTCTATCCTACACTTTAACTCCTCAGTCCATTGCAGTTGTCCAGTATATTCAGTGGGAAAACAGGCCCTAAACATTGAGCATGATGGGTCAAGTTGTTGCCAAAGAGCTTAACCTTTGTTTCACTGGATCATACACATATTTTCCAAGCCATTCATATGTTAACAGGCAATGTTGGAATGGCCCTGTACATGCGCCAGTTGTAGAGCCCAAGTAGCGGGCAATGTGAAAGATATTTACCATCAAAGACAGAAAAACTTTGGTAACATAAGTCCACACAGCGACCAATTAGAAACTATGAGAACGTTCTTGTACTTGGTACCTTAACAGCGATTGCTAAGTGTAATGGTGTTGCATAGATCTTTAGCTGTCTGGGACAAGGACTCATTTACTGATTGTTTTCTTTCTGCCAGCATCCTGCAGTTTTACTCAGTTTGTCAGTTGTGTTTAACAGCTCTCTGATCTTCCCCAAGATGGCGAAGAATTTGGAATGGAACAAATACATTCTCTAGACGGTTGGCTTTGTATAAATTAGTTGAAATCAAATGAATATTCTCCTACTCTGACTGATGTCACATTTCTTGCCAATGATAATCCACAGTTTACAGTAGATAACAGAAGGAGCTTCATTATCATTTTAAGGAAATGAGCTGAGTGTACTCACCTCATCACAAATGTGAAGTGCAAGGATCAAAGCCATAAAGCCGGTGGATGGATAATCTCCCTTTTTTTTCAGCCAAATCTCATGAACATATCTCATAAAGGCTGGATTGACCACCATCACCTTTCACGAGTTAGTAAGATTCAAAATTAATTATGATCAGATTAATAATAATAATAATAATAATAATAATAATAA